TTGTTCTTCCATTTCAGCTACATTTCAGCATGTTTTTTTTTTAGCTCATTTCAGCTGTTTTTTTAGCAAGTTCTTCTGCAATAAGCATCACTCTGCATTTTCACAGGAAATGCAATTTCTCTAGTTATTTCTGTTCTGCTTAATGTTGATTAGTTGTGGCAGCCATCTTAAATTTAAGTGACACCACATATATATCAGTTATGAATTTATATCCGGTGTTTATATTTTGAAGGTTTTATTAAAGTCAGTCCAGTGGTTCATTAAATATTTTACTAACAGACATATAGGTTGATGTCAACAGCTAAAGCCAAAGTTTTATGTAAAGATGTCATGTGATGTGTTTAGAGGATGTGTTCTGTGTGACTCTCCACTACAAATTTCAGTTCAGTGTAAAACTGTTTGACTTGTAGCAGGTTTGTGTTTCTCAAGGTTGATTGGCTGTGGCGGCCATCTTAAATTGGATTTAAAAGGAAATCAGTCATAGATGCTCACACAATGATCACTTTTTGACAGTTTCATGAAAATCCATCCAGTGGTTCATGAAACGTTTTGCTAACAGACAAAGGTGACTCCAATGGTAAAGTTTTAAAAAGTGATAATAAGTTTGCTCTTGGCACATAAATTGTGGATGGCTTTAAGTTGACAGAGGTTTTGTGTTTTCTTTGGTTGCTAAGCTGTGGCAGCACTTTCTGAAAGCTTAATTTAAATCATCAAAGTTCATGCTCAGTAATCCAGGTAACAAATCCAACAAAGTTAAGTCAGGTCCTCTGGACGGTTTCTTTTTGTTGAAATGCTTTGTCTGTCATCCAAAGGACTTCATCAGTCCAAGGAGCCACAACAAACTCAGTCCCACAAGTAGCACACTCATAGTGGACCAACCAGGTTGATGGTTGGCCCATCAAACCATCCAACTATACGATAACCAACTTATCACCATCAAACTATGTGAGTGTGCTACTTGTGGGACTGAGTTTGTTGCTGCTTCTCGGACTGATGAAGTCCTTTGGATGAAAGACATTTCAGCAAAAATAAACCGTCCAGAGTCTTAACTTTGTTGGGCTTAATTTAAATCTTTCTGGTGATTTATCAGATATTTGGTAACATACCAAATAAACTCACACGCAAAATCAATAAAAAGCACAGTTATGTCCTAATTTTGATCCACGTAAACCTCGTAGGATAATGCTAACATGTTTAGGCATCCTTGCACAACAATATTGTTACATATCTACATTTTTTCTGTACCAGCCTTGTTCATAAAGTATTCACCCTGCTATTAAATCCCAGAGCAGACGAAGAAGACGAGTTGTTTCAGCTCTGTTTTCTCTGCAACCACAGTTTATCATACCAAACCACTGGCAGCTCTTGTAACGTGCATTTATCCCAAACACAGCCGAAACAAGCAGAACAGCCCGTTTTTATCTGTCATCCACAAATCGGTTTAACAAAGACAAATGGCCGTGTGTCAAGTGCAACCAAAATTACAAAGCAGATGTTCTGCCATGACAGAAGAGGGAGTTTAAACCATTGAAAAGGAAGACAGAAACAAGACAGCAGCCTGGGTGCTGAAGTTTGAGACGGATCCAACAGGGCGCACGTGTTTCCTCTGAACAAACAGCAGAAAGCAGCAACTAATATGAGCTCACATGTACTTACTTCTTCTTTGTGCTTGAAAACCTAAACGTTCACGTTTGAGCCCAGTTGCTGCTCCTGATCAAGTCACAGCACGAGCAGCTTCCAGTCATCCAGATGTGTTTTCAAACAGCTGTGAGAAAGACTTACAACCTTCAGAAATGTTTCAAGACATATGGCATGTGTATAATAACTAAGGGCTGTGCATGTTGAGTTCTTCTGCGTTCTTCTGTTCTGTTCGTGGGACAGCACTAGAGGGAGCTGAGGGCCAACAAAGTTTCATCCAACTCCAGAGAACATGGCAAAATATTCTCATGACCTCATTTCCACGTGGCAGAGATCCCAACTTAAATAAACACAAAGAAGTCAAGATGGCAGCTACAGTAAGCTGGCTGTCTGTGCCAGCTGTTGGTGTACTATAATTTAGGAGTCGGTCACTGTAATCATATAAAAGTGCACAATAAACTCATATTAACGTGCACCGATGGCAGGTTTCGAAGCAGGAGGTTTAAAGACAGCTGTCAACACAGAAATAAAAAAAGTGAATTTTTCTGTTTGGACTGTTTTAGTTGTTGTTTTGGTGCAATTATATCGACATTATGGAGATAAAAATGTTTTAACTCTCCTTTAAGGATTTGATGCATGCGCAGTTTAAGTTGCTGCTGCGTTTATAAAACATTCTTATTTTTCTCTTTTTAAACTGAATCTGTTTGCTTGTCTTTATAATATTTGGCTGTTTTAACTCTTGTTTCTTATGTTGTGAAAAACTTAACCGGTTGTATTTTTACAAACCCATCATTGACTAAACGTCCTGCACAGTAAACAAGGAATTGTATCTTTGAGGAAAGTGCTAAATATTTCACGAAAACTAAAAGGATTGTCTGATTTATGAAAATGCAGCAAGTGTTTGAAGCTTGAACCACAGATTTTAGAAAGTATCTCCAATCAAAGATGCAAACACACGAGTCTGAAAGATTTAAACTCCTCTCTTGAACTTAAAATGATTTAAACTATTTGAAGCAGGTAGACACCTGTGCTTTGATCACTCTTTATGTGCAACAGATTAATGACTTTTTGACACAAAGTCTTTACTTACATCATTGTATGTGAGCTCTAAATTAAAATGTTTATCTCTTATTAATTTTCTGTAACATTGCACGTGCTTGTGGAGTTGCTCCTCAAACACTACTGAATCCATTTGTTTGAGATTCCCTACAATCACACATTCTTTGATCTCTTGCTGCTGTATTCATTCATCCGCTCACTACAGACTCATGTTCGGGCTGCTGTTTAATATACTGTATTATTTTACATTATTAGTGTTTAGCGTATATCTTAAATCCTTGTGTACGGTTTCTTTTGATGCTTTATATTTTTTCTATTTTGGGGAGAAACTGGGACGTTGAGTACACAGTTTCATTCCACCTCATGTACCACATGTGATGCGAATGACAATAAAGAACCTTGAACTTGAACTTAATGATGGTGCCTAAATCTTTTTAAAGTGTCATGCTGCACTGAAATTATCACCTGAATTATTTCATTTCTTTGGATTTTCCTTCCAAGCAGCCAGACTTTCTTGTAATCTTTAAAATTTTGAACAGTTCTTCAGGGTTTTTTTTCTTAAAGTCTCTCAACGTGTTTTTATTTCTAAGGTTTTTGATTGTTTTTAAACCAATTTTCAATCTATTTGAACATTTATGTGTGTTTTTGTTTCTTCTAAAGCAGGGGTGTCAAACTCACTTACACAAGGGGGGCAAATTAAAACCTTTTTCAAACTAAAGGCCAATTTCAGCATCGACGTACATTAACTCAAATCAGATACGCAGCATCGTTTCTTGGTCACAGTTCCTCAACAGGAGTTTGATTGATCTCATTTGATGTTCTCTGTTGTAGTTTCGACATCATAATCAAAGATTACTGGAAAATTTCAAGAGATAGAAGTATTTTACGTTTCGCATATAATCCTGGGGGCCAGATAAGATGTCAACGAGGGCCACATTTGGCCCCCGGGCCTTGAGTTTGACACATATGATCTAAATCATTTAAGCACAAAGGCCCCAGAAATCAAGGACCAAAGGATCAAAGAGTCAATTTAAAACAGGATATTTAGACAATACTTGTTCCCATTTCTCCAAATCTGGGAAAACAGCAACGTCTGACAGACTTTTGGCTCCAACAAGGTGGCTCTGAAAATCAGCTGAAAACGTGTCACATAAATGAACAATGTTTTGGTTAAAATGAAATTTATATAAAAAAATAAAATAAAAAAACACTATCTGCAGATTTTTGGAACTTGACCTCTCTAAGTGGCTTAACATCTGTTGAGTTCCTGCCAAAAACCAATGCAGACGGTCCTGATTTTAGTTTTCTACACCGCCTTATCATTTAGCTGTTTTTTGTTGTTGCTACTTTTCCTTTTGATTGTCCTTTTAGTTGCCATTTTATTTTAACTTGTTAAAATTAAGTTAAATTTGTACGCATCTTTTATGATTGCCTATTGTTGTCACTGTTGTCATCACTCTGTTAAAATTCAGGTCTCTCTTGTAAATCACTTTGATAACAGGTTCTGTTTTAAATGTGCTCTATAAATAAAGTTGACTTGACTTAAAT